CGGAAAAACCCCCCCCCCCCCCCCCATTCCTTCGTTTGTTTTGTGGAGAGATTTTAATTCAATTTTTAATTCCCACCTCGGATGCTGCTTCCGACCGCAGCCGTGTTGATATTTAATGGGATAAACATTCCAATTTTGTGGGATAAATTTTTATCTTTTATGGGATAAATAATTAATTTATAATGGCTGGAGCTTCCCTGAGCTCCACATTTGTTGGGAAAAGGGAATTTTCTGTTCCGAACAGGCTTTTTTTTTTCCAGGTTTTTCCTTCAGCCAGACAAATCCCTTTTCCAAGAGCTGTGATGGGAACTCCAGGGCTTGGGGACAGGGATGTGACCCAGAAAAAAGCAGGAGGGGGAATTTTCCATGTTTTCACATTTTCCCCTGGTTTTCCACATTTTTCCATGCTTTCCCATGTTTTCCCACATTTTTCCCCATTTTCCAGGGATCACAATGCTGACCAGCATCACTGACAGGTCCCCAGCTGCTGGAATCAGGGCTGAATTCCTGTCTTCCCCATTTTTCTCTGTTTCCCCCCCATTTTCACATTTTCCCCCCATTTCCCCATGTTTTTTTCCCCATTTTCCCCCATTATTCGCCATTATCCAACATTTTCCCCAAATTTTCCCCCCATTTTCCCCCAATTTTCCCCCCATTTCCCCATTTTCCATGGAACACCATGCTGACCAGCATCACCAACAGGTTCCCACTGCCACAACTCTCTGCTGGAACTGGGACTGAATCCCATTTTCCCCCATTTCCCCCATTTTCTCCATTTTCCCCCCATTCCCCCCCCCCCATTTCTCCCATTTTCTCCCCATTTCCCCCAATTTTCCCACATTTCCCCCATTTTTCAAGGGATCACAATGCTGACCAGCATCACTGACAGGTCCCCAGCTGCTGGAATCAGGGCTGAATCCCTATTTTCCCCATTTTCCAGCCCATTTTCCCCCCATTTCCCTCACGTTCTTCCCACATTTCCCCCCAATTTTCCCCCATTTCCCCATTTTCCCAGGCATCCCCATGCTGACCAGCATCACCAACAGGTTCCCACTGCCACAACCCTCCGCTGGAACTGGGACTGAACCCCATTTCCCCCCAATTTTCCCCCATTTCCCCAGGCATCACCATGCTGACCAGCATCACCGACGGCTTCCTCTGCTGCCTGCTGGGCAAGACCCCCAACGCCGTGGGGCCTCTGGACAGTGTTGAGTCCAGCGACGGCTTCACCTTCCTGGAGGTGAAACCCGGCCGGATCCTCCGCATCCACCACAGCGTTCCCGAGCGCCCGCGCTCCCCGCGCTCCCCGCGCTCCCCCGAGCGCGGCGCCGTGCGCTGCCAGCGCCGCATCACGCTCTACCGCAACGGGCAGCTGCTGATCGAGAACCTGAGCGAGGCCCAGGCCCCGCGGTGCCCGCTGCCCGACGCCAACGGCGAGCCGGGAGCGCCGGATCCCGCCGGAGCGGCGGCCAAGCGCCGCAAGCGCAAGCCCAAGAGGGTGGTGACGGTGGACTGCAAGAAGCGCATCACGAGCTGCAAGGGCACGCACGGGGACGTGGTGCTGTTCTTCATCCACGGCGTTGGCGGCTCTTTGGACATCTGGAAGGAGCAGCTGGAGTTCTTCTCCAAGCTGGGCTACGAGGTGGTGGCGCCGGATTTGGCGGGGCACGGCTGCAGCTCGGCGCCGCCCGTGGCCGCCGCCTACACCTTCTACGCGCTGGCCGAGGACATGAGGGCCGTGTTCAAGCGCTACGCCAAGAAAAGGAACATCCTCATCGGGCACTCCTACGGGTGAGGAGCTGGGAATGGGGTGGAAAATGGGAATGGACACAAATCCCGTCTTTTAGGGGTGTGGGGTTTCCATTTTGGGATTATCCTGGGAGTTGGAGCTCCGGAATCCTTGGGCTCTGTTCAAGCGCTATGCCAAGAAAAGGAACATCCTCATCAGGCATTCCTATGGGTAAGGGGCTGGGATCATCCTGGAAAATGGGAATGGACACAAATCCCAGGTTTTAGGGGTGTGGGGTTTCTGTTTTGGGATTATCCTGGGAGTTGGAGCTCCGGAATCCTTGGGCTCTGTTCAAGCGCTATGCCAAGAAAAGGAACATTCTCATCGGGCACTCCTACGGGTAAGGGGCTGGGATCATCCTGGAAAATGGGAATGGACACAAATCCTGGGTTTTAGGGGAGTGGAGTTCCCATTTTGAGGGATTGATCCCATTTATTCTGGGAGTTGGAGCTCCAGAATCCTTGGGTTCTGTTCAAACGCTACGCCAAGAAAAGGAACATCCTCATCGGGCACTCCTGTGGGTAAGGAGCTGGGAATGGGCTGGAAAATGGGAATGGTCACAAATCCCATCTTTTAGGGGTGTGGGGTTCCCGTTTTGGGATTATCCTGGTAGTTGGAATTGGGCTGTCTTCAAGTGCTACGCCAAGAAAAGGAACATCCTCACTGGGGCACTCCTACGGGTGAGGGGCTGGGAATGGGCTGGAGAATGGGAATGGACACAAATCCCGTCTTTTAGGGGTGTAGGGTTCCCACTTTGGGGGATTGATCCCATTTATTCTGGGAGTTGGAGCTCCAGAATCCTTGGGTTCTGTTGAAGTGTTTCCCAAGAAAAGGAACATCCCCATCGGGCACTCCTACGGGTAAGGGGCTGGGATCATCCTGGAAAATGGGAATGGACACAAATCCCAGGTTTTAGGGGAGTGGGGTTCCTCTTTTGGGGGATTGATCCCATTTATTCTGGGAGTTGGAGCTCCAGAATCCTTGGGTTCTGTTGAAGTGTTTCCCAAGAAAAGGAACATCCCCATCGGGCACTCCTACGGGTAAGGGGCTGGGATCATCCTGGAAGATGGGAATGGTCACAAATCCCATAGTTTAGGAGTTTGGGGTTCCCATTCTTTTTATCCCATTTTTATCCCATTTTTGTTCCATTTATCACATTTTTATCCCATTTTCATCCCGTTTCTCCCAGGATTCAGAGCTCCTGGGTGCCCTTGGGGTGGGCACCATCTCAGTGCCCAGCTAATCCCGAGAGGGAAGTGCAAGGGCAGGGACTATAAATAGGATAAGCCAGGATTAGGGCTCCTGATTAGGTGGAGCCTAATGAGGAGAAGGAGCAGATCCAGCGGGGCTGGCCCGGGACGAGGCCGGGGCAGCCTGGGGGGCACCGGGGGGCTGGGCTGGGCAGGGGGCACCAAGTCCTGCCCTCAAAGGGGGTTGGGGACTCTGCCCCCCAAATGTGGGGTGGCTGCTGGAGCCTTGGGGTGGGGAGGGAGGGGGAAATCCCCTGGGGAGCCAAGGGACACTGCCAGGGTGGCACAGGGATGGGCAGGGACACCTTGGCGTGGGCAGGGACATGGGCAGGAACATGGCAGGGACACCTTGGCATGGGCAGGGACATGGGACATGGTAGGGACACCTTGGCATGGGCAGGGACATGGGCAGGGACATGGGACATCGGACATGGGCAGGGACACCTTGGCATGGGCAGGGACATGGGACATGGGCAGGGACATCTTGGCATGGGCAGGGACACCTTGGCATGGGTAGGGACATGGGACATGGCAGGGACACCTTGGCATGGGTGGGGACACCTTGGCATGGGCAGGGACATGGCAGGGACATGGGACATGGTAGGGACATGGGACATAGCAGGGACACCTTGGCATGGGCAGGGACACCTTGGCAAGGGTAGGGACACGGCGGGGACACCTTGGCATGAGTAGGGACATGGGACATGGGCAGGGACACTTTGGCATGGGCAGGGACATGGGCAGGGACGTGGCAGGGACACCTTGGCATGGGTAGGGACATGGCAGGGACATGGGACATGGGACGTGGGACATGGGACAGGGACATGGGCAGGGACACCTTGGATTGGCATGGAGCACTGCCCTGTCCCAGGGCGCTCCAAGGGACACTGCCAGGGATAATTAAAATAGTGAAAGCCAAGCACTCTGTGGTTATTTTTAACCCTTTCAGGGTGTCCTTCTGCACCTTCCTGGCACAGGAGTGCCCGGAGCTGGTGCACAAAGCGATCACAATCAATATAATTAATAAAATTCCTATCATTAATAATTAAAACAGCGAAAGCCAATAACTCTGTGGTCATTTTTAACCCTTTCAGGGTGTCCTTCTGCACCTTCCTGGCTCACGAGTACCCCGACCTGGTGCACAAGGTGATCATGATCAACGGGGGCGGCCCCACGGCGCTGGAGCCCAGCCTGTGCTCCATCTTCAACCTGCCGCCCTGTGTGCTGCACTGCCTGTCCCCCTGCCTGGCCTGGAGCTTCCTCAAGTGAGTCACAGCCTGGGGAGGGGTCCTGTGCCACTCAGAGGGGGTCCTGTGCCACCCAGAGGGGCTCCTGTGCCACCCAGGGGACACCTTGGCATTGCCAGGGGGCTGGGGGCTTCCTGTGCCACCCTGTGTGTGTGCTGCACTGCCTGTCCCCCTGCCTGGCCTGGAGCTTCCTCAAGTGAGTCACAGCCTGGGGAGGGGTCCTGTGCCACCCAGAGGGGGTCCCATGCCACCCAGGGGTCAGCCTGGCACTGCCACTGCTGAGGGAGGGGACACCTTGGGGGGCTGGGGGCTTCCTGTGCCCCCATGTGTGCTGCACTGCCTGACCCCTGCCTGGCCTGGAGCTTCCTCAAGTGAGTCACAGCTTGGGGAGGGGTCCCGTGCCACCCAGGGGGGGTCCTGTGCCACCCAGGGGGCACCTTGGCATTGCCAGGGGGCTGGGGGCTTCCCATGCCACCCGAGGGGACGCCCTGGCACTGCCACTGCTGAGGGAGGGGGCACAGTGTGGCTTTTGGGGGGCTGGAATCTCCTGCCACCACCCAATTGGTCACCCTGGCACTGCCACTCTGAGGGAGGGGACAGGGGGTGGCTTTTGGGGGGCTGGAGGGCTGGGGGTCATCCTGGCACTGCTGCCCCAAGGAAGGGCACAGAGTGTGGGATTTGGGGGCCGGGGTCCTGTGCCACCTCTCAGGGGGTTCATCCTGGCACTGCCACCCCCAGATAGGTGACAAAGTGTGACTTTTGGGGGGCTGGGGGCTTCTGAAACCCCTCAGGGGGCTCACCCTGGCACTGCCACCCTGAGGGAGGTGACAGAGAGTGACTTTTGGGGGGCTGGGGGTTTCTGAAATCCCTCAGGGGGCTCATCCTGGCACTGCCACCCCGAGGGAGGTGACAGAGTGTGGAATTTGGGGGCTGAGGTCTTGTGCCACCTCTCAGGAGGCTCACCCTGGCACTGCCACCACCAGGGAGGTGACAAAGTGTGACTTTCTGCTCCAAGGGACAGGGAGTTCCAGGGATGGCGCAGGGACAGGGACATGGGACAGGGACACCTTGGCATGGGCAGGGACACCCTGCTGTGCCCCAGGGCGCTCCAAGGGACACTGCCAGGGAGGGGACAGAGTGGCTTTGGAGGGCCGGGGCAGGGCTGGAGCCCATCCTGGCACTGCCACTCGCCAGGGAGGGGACAGAGTGGCATTTGGGGGCTCGTGCCACCTCCGGGGGGTCTCACCGCGCCGCCGGCTGCCCGCAGATCCTGCTGATCGCCTTCCTGAAGGTGATCGACGAGGGCAGCCACATGGTGATGCTGGAGTGCCCGGACACGGTGAACACGCTGCTGCACGAGTTCGTCCTCTGGGAGCCCGACACGCCCGCGGCCCGCGGCGACGGCGACACCAAATGAGGGCCAGCGACACGCGGGGACAGCGGGCTGGCCGCTGCCGCGGGAGAGGCGGAGCGCGGAGCGGGCTCGGCCCAGCCGCCAGCCCGGTTTGGGCCCGGGGGCGAGCGAGGAGCGACCCCGGGCTGGGATGGCAGCGCCGGGAGAGGAGCCGGGAGTGCCCGGGGCCGGGGACAGCGGGGACACGGCACGGCCGGTCCCCAACCCCGGCAGGACAGCGGGGACACGGCACGGCCGGTCCCCAACCCCGGACATGTCACACCTGGTCCCCAACCCCGGACATGCCACACTGGACATGCCACGCGTGGTCTCTGGACCCCGAACATGTCACATCGAGTCCCCAATCCCCAGGGACAGCGGGGACAGTCACGGCCGGTCCCCAGCCACCCCCGGACACGCCACCCCCGGCGCTGGAGCGGCTCCGTCCCCGTTTTTTTGTCGCCGTCGTTGTCATTCCTGCACGCGGCGACAGCGGGGGACACCGGGAGGAGGCGGCGACACCGGGAGGACACGGAAGGACCGGGGACACCGAGAGGACGTGGAGGGTCCCCGCAGGGATTTTTGGGGCGGTTTTCAGGAGAATCCAGAGGCTCCCCCGCGCTGGGATTTTGGGGGTTCCTTGTGGGGTTGGGCAGCTCCTGCTGGGATGGGGAGGAGGATGATGAGGATGAAGATTCCCGGCATCACGGCGTGTCCCCAGTGCCACCACGGCCACGTCCCCGCTGCCAGCAGCGCTGTTAGGGCGGAGCCCCTCGGGGACACCCCCGGGACAGCGGGGGACAGCGGGACCCCCATTCCCGGGGTTCCCGGAGATTCCTGGTGAGGATTCCCAGTGAGGGTTCCCACAGATTCCCGGTGATGATTCCCGGAGATTCCCGGTGATGATTCCCGGGATTCCCGGTGATGATTCCCACAGATTCCCGGTGAGGATTCCCGGTGATTAATCCCGGAGATTCCCAGAGATTCCCAGTGATGATTCCCAGAGATTCCCGGTGAGGATTCCCGGGATTCCTGATAATTCCCGCCCGGATCCGCGGGATCCCGACCGCCCCCCCGATCCCCCCCGATCCCCCCGATCGGGACAGCCCCGGGACGCCCCCCGGACTGCACTGGGAGGGTTGGGGTCTGTGGGATTGGGAATGGGGGATTTGGGATGGGAACGGGGGCTGTGGGATTTGGGATTGGGAATGAGGGGTTGGAATGGGAATGGGAATGGGAATGGGAATGGGAATGGGAATGGGGGATTTGGGATTGGGGATTCAGGATTTGGGATTGGGAATGGGGGTTTCGGGTTGGGGGATTTGGGGTCGGGGATGGTTTTGGGGTGACGCCCATCGCGGCGGTGACGTCACACTCAGGGGGCAGGGCCACGGCACTCAGCGCCCCCCAGTGGCCAGAACTGGCACTGCCCAGCGCCACCAAGTGCCACCAGTGTCCCCAGTGTCCCCAAACCGGCACTGCCCGGTGCCACCAGTGCCATCAACTGGACCTCGATCCCCGTGACCTGGAGGTGACACCGGGCCAGCAGAGGTGACAAAGGAGAGGGGACACAGGGCCGGGAGAGGGGACACAGGAGAGGTGACACAGGGCCAGGAGAGGTGACAGAGGAGAGGGGACACAGGGCCGGGAGAGGGGACACAGGAGGGGACACGGGAGGTGACACGGGAGGTGACACGGGAGGGGACACCGGAGGGGACACAGGGCCGCAAGGGTGACCCCAGCCCCACAAAAGCAGCACGCCCCCCCGATCAGCCCCGGGACCGAATCCTGCCTTTAATTCCCACCCAAATTTTCCAATTTTCTCCAAGGAAAACTTTCCCCAAGCGATTTTGGGAAATTCTCTCCCAAATTTGGCCTTAAACACCCAAAATTTTGAGATTTCCTCGAATTTCAGATTCCAACCAATACGGAGCGGGGTGGGCGTGACCAGATAATGAATATGCATGAGTCTATTGGGCGAGCTTATGAATATGTAAATTTTTCGGGAATAAAATCACCCAAATTTTGGAGAGGAGCTCTGAGAATTTCGCAGAAATCGGGAAGTTCGATCAATATTCTACTTTTAAAAATTAATTTAATTTTTCTTTAATTCTTTAAAGAGAAAATGTTTCTTAAAGTTCGATTTTTCCTAAATTCTTTCATGTTTTTCTTTCCGTGCCTCAGTTTCCGCCCCCCCCGGGTGTGACACCCCCAAACCCCGGGGGGAACCTCGAGAACCCCAAAACCCTGGCACCTTCCTCCCTGCCCATCCCAAAAACACCCCAAAATATCCCAAAAACATCCCAAAAATATTAAAAAAGTATCCCAAAACCACCCCAAAAATATTTTTCAAAATCAAAAAAATACCCCAAAACCACTCCAAAAACACCCCCAAAACACCCCAAAAATATCCCCAAAAATACCTCAAAATATCGCAAAGTATCCCAAAAAATATCCCAAAAAGATTTTTAAAAATCCCCAAAACATCCCCAAAAATACCCCAAATTATGCCCAAAAAATTCCAAAAACACCCCAAAATATCCCAAAATCAGCTGCTCCACTTTTAAGGGATTTTGAAGGGATTTCCCCTTTTTTTTCTTTTTTTCTTTTTTTTTTTTTTTTTTTTTTTTTAAGGAATCTTTAAAGGGATTTTCCCCCCCTTTTTTTTTAAGGTTTTTTTAAGGGATTTTCCTTTTTTTTTTTTCTTTTTTTGTCTTTTTTTTTTAAATAATTTTTCTCCTTTCCCCCCGCCCCCCTTTTTGTTTTTTTAAGGGTTTTTTTTCCCTGTTTTTTTCCCTTTTTTTTTTTTTTTTTTTTTTTAAAATTTTTTTTTTTTTTTTTTTTTTTAAAGGCATTTTTCTCCTTTTTTTAAATTTTTTAAGGGATTTTTTTTTTAAAGGGATTTTTTCCCCTTATATATTTTTTTTCATTATTTTGAGGCGGATTTTCGCCATCTGGAGAATGAAAAGGCTCTGGCAGGGCCGGTGAAGTGTCAGCGAAAAGGCTTTAAAAATGTTGTTATTATTGTTATTTATGGGCTGGAGCCACGGAGAGGGAAAAGAAGCCAAAAAAAGGTTCAAAAATAGCTGGAAAAAGCAAAATAAAAAGCGGGATGTTTTTTCCAGAAGCGGCTGAAAAACAAAATAAAATACCTTGGAAAAACACAAATGTGTTGGGGAATTTTTTTGGGATTGGGGACTTTTGGGGTTGGGGATTTTGGGGATTTTTGGGATTTTGGGGATAGGGATTTTTGAGATTGGGGTTTTTAGGATTTTGGGGATTTTGGGGATTGGGGTTTTTGGGGTCGGGGATTTTTGGTATTTTTAGGATTTGGAGGATTGGGGTTTTTGGGATCAGGGTTTTTGGGGTCAGGAATTTTTGGGATTGGGGATTTTTTGGGATCTGGGTTTTTGGGGATGGGGGGTTTTTGGGATTGGAGATTTTTGGGATTTTTTTTTTGGGGATAGGGGTTTTTTGGGTTAGGGATTTTTGGGATTTTGGGGATTGGGAATTTTTGGGATTGGGGTTTTTGGGGATCAGGGATTTTTGGGGATTGGGGATTTTTGGGGTCGGGGATTTTTGGGGTTGGGGATTTTTGGGGATTGGGGATTTTGGGATTGGGGGTTTTTGGGTTCGGTGGTTTTGGGATTGGGGGTTTTTGGGATCAGGGATTTTTTGGGATCAGGGTTTTTCCCGGCTCCCGGCAGAGGGAAGGGCAGGAGCGCAGCGGCGCCTCTTGGCCAGACGGGCTGGAATTCCACAGCTGGAATTCCACAGCTGGAATTCCACAGCTGGATCGGCCGGAATGCTCTGGTTTGGGATTCTCACAGGTTCCAGTTTGGGGTCCCCAGGGATGCTCCAGGTCGGGATTCCCTGATTTGGGGTTCCCTAGAACAATCCAGTTCGGGATTCCCAGGGATTCCCAGATTTGGGGTCCCCAGGGATGCTCAGGTCCGGGGTTCCCTGATTTGGGGTTTCAGGAATGCTCCAATTTGGGATCCCCAGGGATTCCCTGATTCGGGGTCCCCCGGGACGCTCAGTTTTGGGGTCCCCAGGAATTGCCAGATTTGGGGTCTCCAGGGATGCTCTGGATCCCCAGAGATGCTCAGTTTTGGGGTCCCCAGGGATGCTCCAGTTCGGCATTCCCAGGAATTCTCTGATTTGGGGTTCCCTGGAATGATCCAATCCATAATCCCCAGGGATGCTCTGGGTGCCCTGGGAATTTGGGGTCCCCAGGAAAACCTCGATTTGGGGTCCCCAGGGATGCTCAGTTTTGGGGTCCCCTGCTTTGGGGTCCCCGGGGATGCCCCATTTGGGGACAGGGCCTGCAAAGGGGATCCCAAATCCTTTCCTTCCCCTTTTCACCCCCTGTTCCTTCTCGTCCTGCTTTATTTTTGGGTGGATTTTTCTCTATTTAGGGCCTTTCCAGCTGCTTCCTTTTATCCTTTTCATTCAGAGCCTGTCATTACATTTTCCATTCTTTCAAAGAAACAAAAAAAAAAAACCCAAAAGCGGCTTCCCAGGGGCCTTTCCAGCTCCTTATTCCCGGAGGGAAGGGGTAGAATATCCCAAAATATCCCCAAAAAATTCCCAAAAAAATCAAAATATAATCCCAAATCCTCCCCCTCCCGCTCCCCTGTGGGGTTTTTAGGAGTTTTTGGGGGAATATCCAAAAAAAAAAAAAAAAAGCCTCTCCGAGATCCCGACGTGCTGGCACGTCCTTTTCCCGTCTTTTTTTTTTTTTTATTTTTTGGGATCCGGCCATCCCAAATTACCGGGGCGGGCCGGGAGCTGCCGGCTCGGGGCTCCCGTTCCCTTCCCCGCTCTGCTCTTCCCGCTTGGAATGGCGAAAAGCAGCGGCGGAGTTTTTCTCATCCCGTTTTTCCTCCTCTCCCGGGATATTCCCAGCCCTGCTCCTGCCCTCCGGACCCTCCGGGGTTGAATCCACCCCTGGGTCACCCCAAAATCCACGGCTGGGACCCCTCGGGGCATCCCCGCTCCGTCCCCATCCCGCATTCCACGAAAAAATGGGGGAAATTGAGGGGTTTCCACCCAAAACGTGCACAAATCCCCCCTGGATCCCCCATCCCTCAGATCGCTGTCCCTGGGACTGGGGCTCACCTCTGCTGTCCCTTTTTTGTTATTTTTGCCCGTTCCCCCCCCTTTTTTCCCCCTTTTTTCCCTCCCCTCCCATTTTTTCCTCCCATTTTCCCCAATTTTCCCCCCTTTTTTGCTTCCCCCCCTTTTTCCTCCCCTTTTTTTCCCTTTCCCACCCATTTTTGTCTCCCATTTTCCCCAATTTCCCCCTTTTTTTGTCTTTTCCACTCCTTTTTTCCTTCCCAGCTCCAGGAATAGCGGCGGGAGCCATTTCCATCTGCCCTGGCCCAAGCTGGAATTCCCTCATGAAATTCCCAGCATTCCTACATGGAATTCCTGCATTCCCACATGGAATTCCTGCATTCCTGAAGGATCCCACATCCCAGCATTCCCACATTCCTGCATTCCCCCAGGATCCCGGCATTCCCACATGGAATTTCTGCATTTCCACATGAAATTCCTGCATTCCCACATGCAATTCCCACATTCCTCCAGGGTCCCGGATCCCAATATTCCCACATTACCACAGTATCCCGGCATTCCTGCATTCCCGCATTCCCACATTCCCTCATTCCCACATTCCCCCAGGA